GAGAGAGAGAGAGAGAGAGAGAGAGAGAGAGAGAGAGAGAGAGAGAGAGAGAGAGAGAAAAGGAGGGAGTTTTCTATGTAGAGAGTGATAGCGGGCGCTAGTCTTTCATGTCAGTTCAGTTTTCACTTGGGTGGGATAGCTCTGACATCATATGTCAGATATGATGGCTCTGACGTCTGACCTCTTAGGGCTGACAACCTAACTTGGTAGCCTTATCTTGCATGACATGTGTCATGCCCTAGGAGCAACTCCTGGTCATCCTTCTTCTATCTCAACTGCATTCCTATCCTTCTCTGTCCTGTTCCCTCTTGCCCCCTAGTACCCCTCCCTTCCCTCCCCTCTTCCCTTTTCTGTCCCTTGTACCCTTGCCCCCTCCCAACAAATCCTTAACCTCTTCTCTCTCTCTCTCTCCCCCTCCCTCCTCTTCCCTATTTTGCCATACCCCTCCGGTCATCCAGTTCAATTTGACGCCAGAGCCATTCATCCATAGCCGCAGCTGCTGCTGTGGGCTTCATACTATCATCATGATCATAGGCTTTGCTACTTCAACATGACTGTCGCCAATGGCGGATGACTTACTTAAACTTAAGTGGCTTTGTGCAGTTTTCCGATCTAACAGTGGAACTTTCAACGAGAGTACCATGAACATTCACTAGTCAAACAGTCCGTATGTACGTACGTTGAGTGGATGGTGTACAAATTGCTTGATTGCCCTCAAGGAGGGGGCCTCCTTCAGTAATCAGAAATGTGTACTTGCTCCATTCGTTTTGTGGATGTGAGTTTTCAAAAAAGCATTCGCGCGGAAGTTTGTTGTCACAGCAAGCGAGGTTGATGACCTTTCCTCTTTTGCATTTATCATGAATGTATACAAACTATCTTTTTTCAGGTTCGGTACAGTCAGGATGAGCCTCAGGGTGTGTCAATTCCAGGGGTAGATGGTGGCAGCAGGTCCATCAAGAAAGTTCTTTTCGAAGTTTTCCCAACGATTCCTTGGTTTATAAGGCGAAAACTTCGAAAAGAACTTTCTCTCCCGCCACCTCACAGCTTCACAGAAGGGCTATTTTTTCGAAGTTTTCGCCTTATTAACCTAGGAATTTGATTTAAGCCAACAAGTCCTCCCAACGATTGAAAAAATAGCACTTCTGTGAAGCTGTGAGGTGGCGGGAGAGAGAGGGGGGGGAGAGGGGGGGGA